GGGGGCGGCAGAGGGACTGCGAGGGCGGGAGCGGGGGCCCCGGGCTGTGCCTCCGCAAGGCTTAAAGTTTCTTGCCGGAGTCGCCTGGCCGCCTCTCCGTACGCCGCCAAGTAACGGTCCGCGGGCAGCGGGGCCCGGCCCGGCGCGCCCAGACCCGGGGGTGGGAGGGACTCGGCCGGCCCCGCGCGGGGTCCAGCGGGGTCCGTGCGGACTCGGGGGCGGGTGGTTCCTTTCCAGGGGGTTCTGGCCCCACGCCGGGGGCTGGCGGAGTCGAAGAGCGCAGGGAGACTTTTCTGGGCAGTTTCGACATGGTCAGGAGGAGCCCGTTATCCAGGCTGAGTCAGGAAGGAGGAAGGAGACGGGGGTGCGAGGGGGACACACAGAGCGGATGGGAGATCAAACGGGTGACAGTTTAGTAGGTCCATCTTGGAAGGAGTCAGAGAAGGATCAGAGTGAGAGAGGGAGAGAGAGGAAGAGAGCGAGAAGGAGAGAGAGAGAGACCCCCTAGGTATTACCCCCGAACAAAATCGTGGGAATAAAAGAGAAAAGTGATTGGCAAGAGCGCAGAAGGCGCCTGGGGGAGGGGAGAGAGCTGGGGACCAGAGAGGGTGTTGGGGGAGTTGCGGAGGATACTGAGTTTAAAAAGAAAAACCAACCCCCCAAAACAAACAAGCGAACTAGCGCCAGCTAAGACTGGGAAAGGAAACTTCTCGCTCCCCTCGCTCTCAGCCTGATCACCCGGCGCGGGGCCGCGTTGACGCTCCTGAACTGGACGCGGGGACGCGGCGCCGGCCCGGCCTCCGGCCTCCCGCAAGCCCAGCCCGCGCCTCCGGGGGACCGCCGGGGCCCACTTGGAGCAACTTTCCTCTAGAGAAGACAATTGTGCGCGCCCCCGGCCTGCCCCTGAGCTGCGCGGCGCGGGGAGGGGGCAGCTGGGGGCGCAGTGAGGGGTGCTGGAGGGAGAGAAACACAAAGACGAGGGAATTTTGATTAGAGACAAATGATGCTTCTCTCTGTCCCTCTCTCTCCGTCTCTGTCTGTCTCTCTCTCTAGGTTTCGTGTGTGTGTGTGTGTGTGTGTGTGTGTGTGTGTGTGTGTGTGTCTTTTGCTTGTTGTGGTGGAGGTGTCGAGCCATATGGGGGAGTGATAGAGGAATTTTAGTCAGAAACTGTTCGTTATGTTATCCTGCCTTTTCCCTTTGTGCTGCCTTTGATCTATTTGCTTGGCTTAGTATTACAAAAAACAAGTACAATAATATATCCCGAGCTGCTTCCCCAAGATTCAGTCAGGCTGCCTCTTTTTAAGCCTCTCTCTCTCTCTCTCTCTCTTCCTCTCCCTCTCTCCCTCTTAATTTAATTTTTTCTTCACTCTACTGTCTGGCATTATTTAAGGTGGTCCTTACACTGGAGACTTCCCCTTCCCCATCTCTGGGTAATTTAGTAGACACTAAAATTACACCTAATGTCCCCCTCTCCTCTCTTGTGTTTCCTCTGTTCCTTTTATTAAATGTTGGTTATTGATTTTCTAAAATCAATGTCTGTTGTGGGGCTTTTTTCCCCCTCTTACAAGTATCTAAAGCACGTTGCTGATCAACTGGATAACAAAAGCTTTGTGTCAAGGAGGTGGGTTTTTTCTTCTCCTTATGATAAACAGTTGTTTTTTGAGAGAAAAGAGAATGAGATTTAAAGCAAGGTTCCCAGAAGTGTCCTTTTGCAGGAGAGACTATTTAAAATATTTGTTTCTTCTTGTCTGCCTCCTCCAACCCCCTCCGGGATTCTGCCACCGTTGACCAGCCTGGCCCCAGCATTGAGGTCAGGCCAGAGCCCAGGTCTGGGGAAACAGAGAGCTCCAGGCTTCCTGGGAGCCCCAGGGCAGAGGCTGGCAGAGAGGGAGGCTGGCTGGGGGCTTCGCAGGTGGACTGGAGTGCCAGGGAGGTGCTCAGCCATGGACACCATTTCCCCTCCGCTCAGCCACTAAGTTGGGAGAAGCCTCAACACTCGGAAGTGGAAAGTTGAATTGCACATTTTAAAGGCATTTAGCCCAGACCCTGCACACTGAACAGCAATAATTATTTCCCAATAATCTGTGGGAAAACATGCTGTGAATTGGTTACTTGTCAGTGTTTGGCTTTGAGTTTAATCTGACTGAGCAGTGTCCTGGTTTTGAGAAGCAGGTAGAAGAGTTTTTCCTTCTCCCCCCTCTTTTTCATTTTCTTTCTCATCAAGCACATACCCAATGCCTTTCCCTTTGGGAACTGCTGGGATTTATCTGAACTGAGTGGATTTTTCTTCTTTCCTGGATTCATGGAAAAGATGTCACTTTTGAGCTTGTGTCTTTGCTGATAACACTAAATATGATGATGCTTATCAAAAATCATATAGAAATTCCTGGAAAGGAATAATGGGAATACTAATCGTAGAAGTAGAAGCTACATGGGAAAAGAGAGAGAGAGAGAGAGAGATGGTCATCCAGGAAACTAGAATGGCACTTTATATAATTTTAATGAAGTCAACAGTATATATACAGACTAAGGTGACGAGGAGATAAAACATGTAAAGCAGTATGTGTGTGTTGGAAAGGCTGGTCAAGAACATGGGTGAGAAGACAATGCTGTATACAGCTATTAAAAACCAAAGGAGAAAGAGGCAGTTTGAGGAAAACAAATGTACAAAGAAAGAAACAACAATCTAAAATTCAAGATTCTCAGGCTAGCAAGATGCCTGGCAAAGACAGTGCCAGGGCCAAGTTAATCCACAGCGGACAGTCTCCTTTCCCCCACATGGAAGGGATGAAGTCTCTTCCCAGAAAATGAGATGTGCAGGAGGACAGGGGAGAGGGGTGAGGGGGAAGGAGGCAAAAAGCAAGTTGCCCGAAGACAAGAATGTGTGTCGGTTTCAAGAAAGTTCAGTCAGATGATCTTCAGTCTCCTGACTCACTTTGTAATACTTTCACTGAAGCTGGAGAGGAGGGGGAACCCCCCCCCTTTTCATTCCCCTGATTATACCCCCACTATCTGCACACAGCCTTCGAGGCAGAAATGAGCACTTGGGAGCCGGAGATGCCCGGCTTCTGCCTGCCACTGGCGCAGCCCGGGTGTAACTTGCAAAGTTTTTTGCTTTAGCTCCTGATTTCGGGCATTGGCTCCCGGGGTGCTCGGGCTACACTCCTGCCTCCTGCGGAGACTGGGAAGAGGGGCCTGCCTCCCCAGCCCACTGCCTTCCAGCATCAGCCTCTGAAAAATTACACAGACACACGCACATTTTCACAAAAATCAAACCTGGAAACTGCTTGTTTCAAAAAGGGAATGAAGTTGTCTTTTAAATGAAAACTGAATTAGGAGTGGTGGGGAAAAGGAAAAGGAAGGACGAAATAAAAGTTATATTTGATTTTTCTTCAAAGTTTCAGCTGAAGGGGTAGGCATTGTACAGTGGAATGGGGGAGAATTTTTTTTATAAACGTTTGCCTTTGGTCTCTGATTTTCAGTGGGAAAGAAAAGGGATAAAGTTGGATGTTTTCAGGGCTTTGGATCCTAGAGCAGAAACAATCAGATGAGCAGAAATGAT